TTGTCATTTTGTAAACGTAAGAGCTATCCTCGTCTTCTGCCCTTGATGGGTTCAAATAAATTTGTCTTCATTTCCTACACTACACCTCTCGATTTCTGCACATGTACAAACAAAAGCAAGCCTCCTGTTTCTGCTCTCCCTGTCTGAATGAAGGGACCTTGGCGGAGCCCTCTGAAAAGCTGATTCCTCATTGACTGGAAAGCCCTTGTCCTTACATTGCTCTGCCTACTGCACTGATTGTGTACTAATGGAAACATCAGGCCCCCATCTGGTGTCCATCATTTGGATTCAGGGCAGAGCTCGTCCCAGCAGATACATCCGATTAGTCCATCTCATCGATTTGTGCTGCCTCATCATGACTTAGTCAACCCAAGGTGTCTCTTCTATGACATGCTGTCTCCTTGTGATTTAGTTTGCCAACACTCTAAGTGCATTGAGTGTGACAATAAAATCTTTAATCTAATATGCATATTAAAGAGGGAGGTGGTGGAAGATGAAGAAATGGTAAGGGTGTGTGGGGGGAATCCTCTGTAGAGAGGATAGAGAGAGACAGAGCTTTACGTTTAAAATGCAACACCTTCTTTGTGATCCTGACTGGCTGAGATTTCAAGCGCAACATGTGACATCAAATTGTTTATCAACAAGTCTTATAGATTTTTTTTTTTTCAAATTTGCTGAAATTGTCATGTCTGCAATGAAAAAGTGAACATTATCCTGTAAAATAGACGTAACACCTTTTATATCTGAACCAAAAATGAAGAATCCTCTTTTCTGCTCATATGTAAACCAATCTAATCTGCCTTTGCACTCTGAGAATGTGAACGGGGTTAAAGGTGCACAATGAGCGCGCCGTATATTCAGTAAATCTAACCAACAAGGATCGCCTGGCTGTGTGAGCATCATATTTAAGGTCGTTTCAGGCGTATATTAATAAGATTTGGAGCTGCGCTGATCGAGCCGGTGCTTCCACTGACCCCCAGCGGGGTGTGTGGCTTCATCTGTGCTGGTGCTGCGTCTGTAAGCAGGTGGAGCTTTTCATAGATGACATGTCTTGTTTCACACTGTCACACATTGTAAAGGTATAAAAAACACTTCAGAAATTTAACAACAGTGTCAATTTTTTCAAGTGTCCTGGGAATGTTTAGTCCAGAAAAGCAAATTATAACAGAAATATGTCACTTTAATGATAATAATTTAGTGTTTCGGGCTTTGTTTATAT